TTCAATTTCAGAAAAATGAAGATCCCCAGAAAATTTCACCCATTCTTTTCTTTTCTACATCTATATCTCTCTTTTAATCTCTCTCTATCTGTATTTCTGTCCTTCTGCATCTTAAATGTTTCTTCTTTGTCTCTCCCATATTCCCCCCCCCCCCCCCCCCCCCCGTCGCATATCCCACTCACTCTCTCTCTTCCTCCCCTCTCTCTATCTGCCTCTTTATCTTTCTCTTATAAGATTTTAAAGTTGTTGATATCATCACCATCAACTTATATCATGTTCTCTAAACAGCCATCATTTGCAAAAGCTTTATCAACAGATGATGCAAGAGGCTCTTTGTATGAAATAAATATATAAGCTCTGACCTTCATCATTTCTATGGTATTGACGATCAATATGGACACACAAATACTATGAAAGATATCTTAATTCATAAAGCAATTGAAATATAATAGTCATAATTATTGATAAAGACATTAGGTCATCCAACTCAATTCAAGTGTTGTCATAGCAACAATGGGGAGTTGGTGTTTCGTCCTAAATGAGATTGAGATGATGTACAGAGGTACTTGTTTATGTAGAGCATTTGAAAGTAAGTGGTGAAATCCTGGGTAAATTTGTTCAAATGTCAAATTAAAGTAGATTTCTCTTCTCTCCTATCCAGAATTGTGGGACAGCAGGTTTATATGGTGCGATAGTTAATACACATTCTTTCAGAGCTGATGGGCAGAAAGAGGGGGGCTCTGTTTGTATGAAGAAATAAATTCCCTCAGAAATTCTCTCACTAAATGTTTCATTGTATCAATATTGTCCTTTAAATTCTGCTAATGAGAGCTTAAAAGATTGAACAAATGATATACTACAGATGTGATATTGTGTTTGACAGGAAAGATATGTTTGCTTTTCTTTCTTTATCTTGTGCTCCAGTCTTCCCATTTCTAAAAAATAGTTTAAGTAATAAGTCAACATCAGGAGTGATGCATATTTCATAATACACCCCTTCAGGGTTAAGACCGCCATTTTAATTTGTTAGTACATTGCGTAATCAATGTTTTCATATGCGCATGTATTGAGCGTCACTGCCTGCGCTGTGCGCTCACATCATATCGACACATGCGCTTTCCATGCTGCATAAAATAAAAGCAACTATCCATATTTACTCGTAATCTAAAATGGTGCCCATGTCGGCGTATGAGCACTCATGTTACTGTGAAAGAGTGTATTCTGTATTATTATTATTTTTCATACTTAATCAGAAGAATAAAAATGGTGAGCTTCACTGTGCAGAATTTGTTTTTTTAGTACTGCTTTTTGCCTATTCACTCTGTTTAATATATCAATAATCACTAATCATATCCCAATTCCATGGTTTTCTGCTATTGACCACTTGATTAATAACCTTCCACATAAATCTTAAGAAATCACAAAGCTGTTCTGATGTCAACAAGTCAAACACTGACTTCACCATAGCTCGCTACCCACTGACTCCAGTAAATTCTGCAACAAGTAAATTTCAAGACTCTATTGATTTCACGACTCTCATCAAATTCTCATTACTTCCCCCCAAATCTCACATTTTGATATTGCAGGGTCTGGAGAGCATTTTGAGAATTCAATAAAATCCCATCGTTTATCCCATAATTGGGTAAATATTTGCGGCGGCACGACCTGCCAAAATGGGGCTGTCACATCACGTTGCTGAAACAGACATCAGTTTTGATTGGAGAACAGAAACTTTGTGACTCCACTCTATTTTCTTTGAGATATGAAGGAAAGAAAACAACTAGAAAGGACTCTGAAAAGAGGATGCAGATCACTGCTACTCTGACTTACGGTAGTCGGATCAATGAAATAATAAGATTATTTATATATCAGTGATTTTCTTTCAGCTATAAAATATGTTTAAGCTCCAAATAGTACACAAAAGTTGTTTGAACTTGATGAACAAAATGCATTTTAAAAATGATTTATCTTATGTCTTATTCACACACCACATACTATACCACTTCTGAAAGAGGTAATAATTTTTCTTTTGTTATAATTTGTTGTTGTTTGTCATGAATTTTTGATGAAACTGCCCCCCCCCCTCCCCTTCAGTAACAATGTTTGGAGAGTTGGATCTTTCTTTAGCCTTCTCAACACTTTTTGAGGCATGTGCAAGTGCCCCTCCCCCCTAAAACAGAGGATTTTTGATCTGCCAGTGATAGAGACTGCTGAGATTCTGAAATGGACTGGAAGTGTGAATGGCAAAATTATTAGAATATCAGAAACAAGTCTATTGCGAACAGTGGTATCAAACCTACACACATTCACACCCACCATCAAAATTCTATTAAAGTTTGATTTTGGCAAGGACTTACCGCTTAATGATTATCAGCAATGCTTCCAACAGAATGAAGAATTTAAATTTGTGAACAGTTTTCATCCAAAGCGAGGAGAAGGTGACTAGGCTACAGTCTAATATCAGTCAATTTAGGAGGTAAGTATGTTAAATGAACAGAGTGGGTGGTCAAGAAAACACTGAAATTAAGGGTAATTGCAGAAGAAAATTGAATAAAAACCAAAACAAATAAGAGACCGGTTGAAGGAGACCAACAGAGAATTTCTGATAGATAGTAAGATATTAAAAAAACAAAAAGGATGGTGGAGAGAGTGTGTGAGAGAGAGGGAGGGAGGGGGGGAGGGAGGGAGGGAGGGAGGGAGGGAGGGAGGGAGGGAGGGAGAGAGAGAGAGAGAGAGAGAGAGAGAGAGAGGGAAAAAAGAAGTGGAAGAGACACAGTTAGATGAAAACATTGAATTGGAATATGCTTGTGTATTCACTTGCCTATTTCAAATCTTCTTTTCTATGCTTCTCATGTCAGCATGCTCAACGAGGTAAGTTTTTCAAATATTCCATCTCTTTGGGGCTTGAAGGGCAATAACACTGTGTTTAAGTGTACGAGTTAGTGCCCTTCTGGCTCTAAACAGACAATTTGTTGATATACCCTGTACTTGTGCCATAAGCAAAAGATTAACCATGGTAAGTGATGTTGAATGAAATGGATTTATAAGATGTACCTTTGGACCAATTGTACAGGATTATAAGTTTGTGAGATGCCCTTCACCTTAATACTTCAATCTGACTTACTGCATGAATACAAGACAATCAATCCACAGCGGATTATAATGGATAAGCTCTCTAAATCTAGCTTTCTCAGCAGAGGGCACTATTTGCTGATTTTTTAATTTGCCAAAGTGATCATTTAATGTCACATAGATAATCACTCCTATGACCTATACCTCACCCCCACACACAGCTGTCAGCTAAAGACCAATAACAATCATTTTGAGCAGAAATTCCAAATCAAATAGCTCTACTCAATATTATTTGAGGGTGACATAAACTGAATGTACCTTAAGAAAATCCAGAAAATTTCACAGCACTTTCTAAAAATTACAATTGCAAAGGAATTTCACAGATACAATGTGTGTGAGCTTCGGTTCAAAGTTCAAACATCGATTGAATTTGGACAAAGAATAAAATGCTAACAAAGATCTAATTCATGATCAATTTCAATAGTTATTATAACTAACAGTTTGAAATGTAAGTTGTAGAATAAATGGATCAAAATAAGATAAAAATCAATGTTATTTCTTAAATTCTGATCTTCTTTTATTGTCAATCATCCTCTATTCTTTTGTGTGATTAATCAATGTTTCCCAGAACAAGCACCAACAGTACCACAATTATGACTAGTGTCCTAGACAAATAATATTCATAACCATCATGAATATACACCGATTCGGGCGACTTCTGGTGGAAGTGCGCCCCCATAAGGTGACGCCATAACTGGGGGGCGTCTGACTGCAGCTAGCTAGCTTACATTGCAACGGGTATGCTATACCTATACCGAACCTCGCCCAGGCCGGCCAGGGTCGCTGCTCCGCTAGCTAGTAACCGCTCTCGAGCTCTCTGTACTGTCAGCTGGATCGGAGAAGCCCCCCAGTTATAGCGCCGCCACCGGCGGGCAGGTACATAAAACCCCCAAACCGAATCGGTGTATACAGATAAATAGTCCAATAACAAAGGTATCCAGTAACCTTTGACCCCATGCATCTCTCTCACCTGGTGCCCCTCTATGGGAACCCCACTGTGACTGGAATGCACTCCTAAAGGGACCAGAATGCTTTCTCCTCTACTATAGTCTATTGGTAATCATTCATCTATAGACTATAAAGTTCCTTACAGATATGTGAATGATTTGTGTTACGTGCATGCAAAACATTTTGGCCCAAATTCACAAAGGAGGTTTAGATTTAACCTATGGCCCAAATTCACAAAGGAGGTTTAGATTTAACCTATGGTTTAAACCTTCATTTACATAACCCATGATTTGAAAATTAGCGCAAAATAAGCGTACCTTGTTTTGCGGGCGTCTAATATTGGACCTCTGACTTGTGTCGTGCTTATTTTCCGCTTATTTTAAACTATGGGTTATGTAAATGAAGGTTTAAACCATGGGCCAAATCTAAATCTCCTTTGTGAATTTTGGCCAATAGCTTTGATCTGAAGAATAGTTGATGAAAGGTCTTTTGATTATAATATCAATCACTCTGTTGATATTTGATGTATTGCTAGCTGATTGTATATTTTGAATCAAGAATGCGCAGTTACTATTTTTGAAAATTAAAAAGGCCAAGTTTAAGTTTCTTCAGAGGACTGACTTTAAATGCCATCACTCTGCTGTAAAAATGACAATTAATATGGAGGATTAAACTTATCTTGTTCTCTAAAATTCCTTACAGGAATCATGGCAATTTCTAAATGTATTGCATCTCAAAGAAGAAATTCTAGACACATTGTTAAGTTTAAAAGTGAAGAAAATAAACTTGGGAACTTTTCGTGATTATCCATTACCTTGTATTGCTGAAAAAATAAACTTTGGTGAGGTTCAATCGTATCTATAAAAGAATGTCTTTCTTCTGTTATTACATGAATTTATTGGTTATTATAGAAATCTCACCTCCATTTATGTGGCACAAATCCTAGGCACTTATCTCCACAGCTCAAACAGGGCTGCCCTTTATCCACCTCTTCAAAGGCGGAATTCTGAAATAAATAAATAGGATATGAGAAAACATAGATAGTTAGTATTTGACAATACGTCACATAGTTTATTAGAATACAACAACTAAAAAACTCAAATGCAATGAATACCCTGGATGATGGAAGCCATGGTGACATACAAGTTCCATTGTATTAATGGGCAACTTTTTTTACTACACAAAATAAGCTGCACTATTTTTTGTATTGTTTTCTTTCATTGGCACATTCCTGTATATCAAGAGTGTTAAGAATACAACAGTGAGACAATAACATTGGATATGGTCTCCCTCCAGTACTCCTCCTTCCGTTCACCCAAGAACAACCTTATCAATAACTGAATACATGCATTATTTATTTTCTGGATATCATTTATTTTGGCAAAGTAAAGTACATAAGCACCACTATACATGATTTCTTTATGATTGCAAATGTCTGACAAAGGGCCATTATTAATGGCGTTAATATCTACTGCTGATGTTAACACACTATCAATATGACACAATACCAACAAAATTTAAATGAAATGAGTAAAAGGATAGTTCACTAATTGGCTGGTTTCAAGAAAGTGTTTCTAGCCTGATAAAGGATGCCCCTTTTAAAAATATACTGACCAATGAAAAGTTGGGTGCATGAACTAAGCATGTATCAAGGTTCTACTACTGTAAAAACCCGAGACTTTCACCTCCATGAAATGGTCACAAATTTCACAAGGTTGTTGAGATTTGCATTTTTTTTAAATCACAATTTTGCTGTTCTAGTAAGTTTCTCATCATGAAAAAACCATCATTAACAATTCACAAAAGTTCTATGATGTGATATAATCATACAGTATACAACCCTTCAATGAGAAGATGAAAAGAAATGGATTATGTTCAGGAAGCTTTGATACATTCCTAAAAGAATGGCTCAATTTAGCAACGGCTTTGTAAAGGATTTGTTTCTTGTACCCTTCTGGCTTTCAGACTATAATAACCTGATCCTTGATTGATGTGGTCTGATTGGTATAGAGTGAAGACAATGATTTATGTCCTGAAATGATTGGATTAATTCAACTTAAAGGCATCATTTGACGATGTTAAATCTGAGATGCATGGGCCTTCGTGTTATCAGTGTCTGTGATATGGTGTAATATTGAAGCTCTAAAAGAAATCCGCTTCAAAATTATCATGAAGTGCTTCAAAAAAAATCTTTGAGTGACCAGTTTTACCATACTCATTTTCCCCAATAGACTGTAGTGTTATAAAAACTGTTGGGAAAACATTTTTTGAAATTTCGATTTCCAATCATAAATATCTTGATAATCAGACAGGCGATAGGCTTGTAAAAGTCATGGAATTCCTGACTGACCTAAAGGTTTATAATTATGATTGCAGCATGAGCTAAATCCAGGATTTTGTTTCAGAATCTGAGACAATGTTACAGAGTCACTTTAAGATGAACCTACCAGAGCAAGGAACGGGATATCACTTACGAATTACTAGAAAATTATTGGACAGAATCTCATTATGATTTTGCCAACGTTTGACGGGGCTCAACACCAACTACTAAAGTTCAAGACAAATGATTCCCTCTTTTTGAAATAAACTCAAAGACTGTGAAAATTATTTAATTAAGAGATACATAAGGATTCTCTGGTTTTGAAAATACCCTCAAATGTACTCCTTAGATTTAACAAAAGTAAGGAAACTTAGAATACAAGGCTCATTGCCTGTTTATATAGAGCCAGAAGGGCATTATTCTCTGTGTTCAAGAATATGAGTTTACGCCCTTTTGGCTGTAACCTTAATAACCAGATATTTATCGAGTTCCATTCTAAAACATTCACTCAAAGGATATTGATATAACATGCATATTATAAATCTTATTGCTCTTAACCATTCTCCTATTTTGTTTTGCAGATAAAATGTGATAGATAAGTTTGTATGCAAAACTCTCTGCAAAATAACAAATTCCAGTACAAATAATATTATCATGAACCCTACTACTGTAGGGTCCATGATATTAGCAACCTCACTCTCCGCCTTAGACAAAATATAACCTTGAACAAGATAGTTATGACACCAGTCTAGAGTTCAGTAATGCTGTAACATATCTTAGAAGGAATCACCCACAGAGATGGCAAGAAATAGGTCATGGATCAGATGTATACCAGACAACCAGAATAGAAATTGTAGTTAAGTTCATATGACAGTCAATTGATATTAAGTTTAAGCCATGGCTTAAAACTTCTTAGTTATCTCGTAGTTTGGAACCATGAAGATGGACCCGTAGTTATGAAACTGCGAGTTCACTTGAAGTTATAGCCCACAAGTGGTATTAAGGTTAATGGTGGTAGTGGTGGTTATTTTAGCAACCAGAGGACCAACGTGATCCTCTGTGATAACTATGAGCAGTGGGGGTCCTCACTCAAAAATATTTGCCGTGTAGACACAACTAACCTCCAGGTTGTGGCAACTTTGATTTTTTTTGTTGCAGTCCCGTGTGAACCCTCCTTGTTGTTAGAGGATGAGGTTTATAACTTTGAGGTTTCGATGTTGCCGTACGAACATAGCTCATGTTTGGAACCATGAAGACGGACCCATAGTTATGAAACTTTGAGTTCACTTGAAGTTATAAACCATGAGCGATATTACGATTAATGTGATAACTCTGAACAGTGAGGGTCCTCACTGGAAAGTATGTGCCATGCAGAAGGTTTTTGGCAACTTTAAACATTTTTTGTTGCAGTTCCATGTGAAACCTCTTTGAGGTTTGGCAAACTAGACGTTGTCATGTGAACATGGCTTATGTGGAATTGTATATCACACAATTGGCAATGACCATACATACCACTCATAGTTTCATTGCAAGTAACCTCAGGATTCTGTAATGGATACAATAACCTGATGACAACTATATTAACTTGCTTGATGAAAGATATGAACAGAACATCTAAGGTTTACTGTTTCATTTTGGTTATAAATTGTCCTAAGTCTCATCTATCCGACAATCATTTGCTTGAAAATAATCTGTTTTTGAAAGATTATGACTTGATATTTCCACTTGAGTCAAAGCTATAAAATGATGTTGAGACAAATTGTCATAAAACTTATCGATGAATGCTCCCCCCCCCCCCCCTAAAAAAAATGATTGGACCATGATTGGACAAGCTTGAAACAATATACTCTCTATGTAACAGCCAATTCAAAAGCATAGGAAAATCTGAAGCAAGCTCATAATGAATTACATTTAATCTTGAAAGAAGATAGGAAGCCTTTGATACCACTGGATACAAACAGAAGGACATTATGTCATATAGTGGCATCAACTTTAACATCCTTCAGGCTCTGAAGATCATGATGTAGGGTAATGCTCTGACAGACAGTAATGAGTTTTGTAGGAGCCGACATTCTGGAATAAACTTGCATGTAGACCCTAAGGGGTGGCATCAAGCTTATTTACTACCATCATTCATCATACATGCATGTGTTGCTATGGGATACGCTTACTGGTATATTAGAGTCATTTACAGGGAATGAGGGAGAGACAGAGAGCACCGATGGGGAAGGGAAGATGGAAAGGGAGGAGGAGGAGGAGGAGGAGGAGGAGGAGGAGGAGGAGGAGGAGAAGGAGGAGGAGGAGGAGGAGGAGGAGGAGGAGGAGGAGGAGGAGGCGAAGGAGGAGGAGGAGGAGATAGCGATGTAGAGAAAGAGAAACAGAAAGAGAGATAGAGAGTAAAAGGAAAAAAATAGAAAATGGTGAGTCCAAGTTGAAAATGGAATAGCAGGGAAATGACTATCACCTTATTGGTTCACAGTCTTTAGAATCATTAGTAAAGATCTTCACCCTTTGAGGCCGTACAGTTATTTTTCGTGTTGTGTTACATATGATCAGTGACATTGGGGTGACCTTGGGGTAGAATGCTTTCAAATATAAACACATCAAGAATTTGTTTGACATAGAGTAAACATCTTCATTATTTTCGAGCAGCCCAGGAGAGCTAACCTTATGACCCATGACCTGACATTCAAAGTGACATTGAGATTTGAGACTTGTGTAACAGGATGGTGCTAGCTTCATCCTCTGACTGAGTGTAAGGGGGGGGGGGGACCATTTAACAGTTGTTATGAAACCATTCATCTTTCAACAAAACTATCAATACTGAAAGCATAAGAAACATCACTGAAACATTTGACAAATGAAAAGCACCCATTCAGGGGGGGGGGGGGGGAGGCTGTCACAAAGTGTTTCATATCTCCTTAAATTCTAATTCAAAAACATTTCATACACTTACTTTATGTGAGTGTAGCATTTGGTAGGTCTCATCAAGTAGGCCTACACTGAAATCTGGTTAAAGCTAGACTACTTTGTGCATTTTTCCCCTTTTTAATCAACATATTTTCTGATGAGTGCAATAAAAAGTAGGATTTCAATATCTCTCAAAAAGGAGGACAACCAATTGACCTTGTACTAGAAACATTTCTACGGCCTACTCTCTTTGAATTCCCGGAATTTATATCACTGTTGGTGGATGCTAACTAAAGCAATGAACTTATGACCTCCTGGCGGACATGGCAGGGAAACATAATTGCCTGATTTCATGTTGCTCAAAAATGTGTGAGACAGGTGCAGAGAGGATGTATATGGTGACATCCTTCTCTCAATCTAAGTGATAAAAATATGTTCCCTACTGACTCCAAGCTAATCACACAATTACCACGGCTGCAGACATATGAGGACAAGGACTTGGTTTCATGGCTATCATGAAGTCAGATCAAGTGTGATAGCAGGCGCTCCAGACTTCGCTCCGAACATTGGAAAACATGAAGATAAAAGCGTCTGTTTGGAGCCAGAAGGGCACTGACTCGTTTCATTTTACGCAGCGTTAATGCTCTTCTGGCCCCAAACAGCCAGAATGTATCATTTGATGATATTTGTTTTCTAAAACTGAGAGAAGATTAAACTGAAGAAAACCCTGGCTTGTTAAATATTATCAATATTTTCTTGTATTTTTTTATTCCTGGAAATGAAATACAATAACATTTTTTTTTTTTAATTAAAAAAAATCATGAATCTTTTTCTTTTCCTTGGAAATGTAATAGATCACAGAATATAAAACATGCCACAATGTCATTTTCCAGGACCTATAAGGCTTAAAATGGTTTTTGGCCTTATGCCTTGGTCACAAATACCCTTACGGGCTGCTACGAACGCCGTACGAACGATTTTCAGATCATTTCGTAAGATCTTCCTAAGGCGGCCGTACGAAACAAGCGCTCGTAGACCGTTCGTAGACCGTTCGTAAGAACGCAGATTGGTCGATGGTCTTGTCCAAGATTTTTTTTAACATCGTACGAAACCCTCTCTTCGTAAGGCGGCAGTACGAACGCCGTAATTACATCGTAAGAACCACGCAAGATCTTCGTACATTTCGTAGGGTCGAGGGACAATTTTAGAAGCTTCAAATTATTACGATGACCGTAAGAACGCCTCAAGTTGTTCATAGAGGGCTCTTACGGCTTTCGTAAGAACGCCTTACGAGCGGAGATTCTTGTGGTCTTCATACGAATGACTCCTGGCGTTCGTAAGAAGTTCGTAAGGTGCTCGTAAGGTGTACGTACACAATTTTTGCAAATTTTGAGTTTTAACGGTTATAAAGCCTCACTCTGTTCATAGTGTTCGTCGAGGGTGCATCTCCTGTCGAAGAAATATGGGACCAAAGGGGAAATCTGTTAGAGGAAAGAGATGAGGAGGAAAGAGAAAGAGGAGGAGAGCGGCAACAGCAATATCAAGCAGAGGCGCCGGAAGTGGGGGCATTCGTCCCCCTCCCAACCCTATAAAAAAGCAGTAAAGGAGTATAGATGGTTTGTATTTTTTAACCAAACTTAATTTAATTAAATTAAATTAAATTATATTCCATTCAAAGAAAAGGAATGTTAATAGGGATTAAATTTCGTATACATTCCGCATGCTCCTAAATTTTATCAATGGATGTTTTTATAATATATGCGATTTGCGCATATCGTGGAAATATTGTAAGAGGATGGGAAAGTGTTTTTTTTTAAAATATTATAGTGGTGAGAAGACATGAGCCCCTGAACACTGGCGTACTAATGGGCGGGGGGGGGTATTTCTAATTCGATACCAGTGATTTACAAATGTTGCTGAAATGACATGATTTTCCGGTATTTTTTCTCAATATTTTGGTAAATCATATTTTTTTATGCGTTTGTTTGAAAATTACTAATTCCCAAATTAACAGCTGGGCATAAAAATATGCTTATTTAGAAGCCTTCATGTTAGGGCCTGCAGAACGGCGGGGCTCGGGGCTCGAGCCCCCCCCCCCCTCACTTTTTTCAAAAAAGAGGAAAGGAAAGTAAGAGAAAGAACAAAATGTGTGACCTACCAATGTCACAAATGAGATATCAAAATATGCTCATCTGACCGTAATTAGATGCCGAAAACCTTTGAGCTTCCAGGGGCTCTGCCCTCTGGACCCCACCAAGGGCCCTATGGTGGACCCCCTGGATGCTCATCTGACCGTAATTGAATACCTATAACCCCTGAGCATTCGTGGGCTCTGCTCCGTGGAATCCCCGACAATTAGTGACCTGCCAGTGACACAAATAAGGTATCTAAATGCTTATCTGACCGCACTTTAATGCCTAAAAACCATGACCTTCCGGGGGCTTAGTCCCTTGACCCCCGCCGGTGCAAAGCCCCCGGACCCCACGCCAATTTACGCTACGCTCGCTACACTCTAACCTGATCGTTAATACTCCACTTTGAAAAATGTTCCATGGGGCCTGCATGTAACATGTAAGCCTAGGAGTGGTGGTGATGCAAATTTTCCTTCTGCCCCCCCCCCCCCCTCCTCCAAACGATTTTGCTCATTACGCCACTGTCCCTGGAAGGTGAGCCCCCTGGATTTTTTGCCACCAAATCCCAAACTGATTTCGGCGCGCCTGATATCAAGAAATGATGGCCATATCGGAAGCGACCGGGAGGAGGCGGTGGAAGATGACGACGACGACGAGGAGGGAGAACCATCAAGACGGCAGTTTGACGGCGATGAAGATGAGGTAACGGGGAAACTGAGAAAGGAGAAGTAGTCCTATGACTTTGATGCCACCACAGAGCAAAAACTTGTTGACTTCTTCGGTTAACATGACTGCTTTTATAATAAAGGAAGTAACAGATATTCTAACAGCAAGTTCAAGAAACACTTTACGGAGTTGCAGTTGCAGTTGTAGTCTTCTTGGCAATACTGTCATCGTGTAATATCGAACTTTCAACAGTCATAGAATTTTCGACAGTATACGGCAGCGCTTTTTTTGCAACCCGACCAAATAGGAAACAAATTCTTAGCTCTTCTTACGAATGACTTGTGAATGCCGTGAGTTAAACGTACGACCACCTTACGAGAACAAAAACTCGTAAGATTGGCGTACGTCTGACGTAAGAAGAACACAAGGCGTTCTTACGAAAACGTACGAACTCTGGGGCTATTGTATAACCGAAAATCACTTCGTTTCTCAAGAAGGTCTTGAGTTGTTCTTGCGAATTAAACGGCGTTCGTACGAACTCCGTAAGAAGGACGTAAGAATATGTGCCCCATCTGCGAATCTCTACGAACTCTGAAATTCGTAGGAACAGGGAGATTCGTACGAACGAATCGTTCGTACGAACATTTGTGACCGTAGCATAAGGTAGCTTAGCAAAATGAAGTGGCTTGAAAAGATGTAATATGCATTATAATTAAAGATGTTTGTTAATCAAAAGTTCTTTTTAAACATATTTCAACTTACATTTTGCTATCTTTAAGCATCATAGAGAAGGGATATGCATTTACCAGCTCCACATCCTAACAATGTGGTTCTACCTTTGTGTCTTAAAATCATGATTTGCAACAGTTATGTAGTTTGGATTCCAGAAGCATATTGTTATGTCACTATATGTTGCTAATACCTAATACTTTATCTTGAGTAATGATTTTAAAGGAATGCGAAAAAATACAGAATGGTGTTTACCTGCCTCTTCTTAATATTATGAGAGAGAACACTCCGCACGCTGAACACTCGTCTTAACTTGCGAAACATCTTGATGGCACAATGCTAATTAAGAAGTTTTGAAGCTAGTTCTTCGTATCTAACATCCAAAAGTTTTGATGATGGTACGAGCAGCTTCATATCATGTAAGTTTTGCTCATAGTGACTTGCGCAACTATCCAAACTTCTCAAGTTCTGATACATGCCAAGCAGCAGATTCTGTGTTGAAGGGTGAAAAGTAATTCATAGTCTATCCTTGTAACTTTAGAACACCAAGGCCTGACAATCGCAAGGAAAAGATCTGTATTGCCAAGTCGGCAAATACAGCATAAAATCACTTCAAAAGACGTTCAAACAGAAGTTGATGAAACTTGTAAACGCCACACATATAAACTCCATCACATCTTTTCAGAATTTCCTGTTCAAGATCCAAGTTCAATTTATCCACATTCTGCAAGATTATGCAGTGCTACAAGGAAATTAACATTCAAAATGAAGGGAAGCTCATCTTCTTATAAAACTCTTAATGTAGAAATTCCAGATCACAATGAACAACATAGTAGTTTGAAGGCAAGTAGGCATCTGTGTTGATAAATTCTGTTATGATGCTAAAGTTCCTAGACAAGAAACACTCAAATGATATTCCACCCTTGACATGGTTAGAGGCACACCTTGGATAAGATATCACAAAGTTGAGAACTTGTTTACAACTCTCCCCAATAAGGAGAGAGAGAGAGAGAGAGAGAGAGGGCATTACAGATCAGCTGACAGGAGGTATCCAGGCATCACCTTCATAACATTGCTCCATCACTCACAGAATGAAAGTTTGGAACCCAAGTACACTTTCTCTATAACCCTGGAACTTCTGGTAGAGAGAGAGAGAGAGAGAGAGAGAGATGTTTCTTTCACCTTCCCGGAGGCATACCAACCAATCACCATAACGACCCCTCTGTCTTGGTCTGGACTTGGCAGTGACTTGGCAGCCACACTGTGCTCTGCCCAGTGAACCCGGTGGGAGAAAACTTATTTTGAGAGCAACTTAAATGAACTCATGCAGACTGACACAAATTCTTGCTTTCTTTCTTTTCTTCCAAGCCCCCATTGCACCCCCTCTCTCTATCTCCTCCCATATCTCCTTGTGTTTTCTGCTGTCTTTTTCTATCTAACTCTCTCTTCTCTCTTTAAAGTAAAAAAGAAATTTTCTCAGGAACTCAGTAATAAACGATGTGTCAGAAATGTTTATCAAGAATAGCTTCAAAATCAGATTTATGAAAAATAAAATTATACATGTATATCAAGCTTAAGAATTAGTTTATAATGCTAAATTGTGAAATAAAATCAACCTCTATACTTAAATCTAATTTTAAAATATCAAAAATTTCATACATGCTATGTAAAATGATCCTCCTTCAAGCTTGGTAAACATCTAAAATAATTTCTTAAATTTGGAGTGAGTCATTTGCAGCCATAAAAAAGAGGTCATAAATTAAATCAAAGGCATATAGGCATTGGAGGCACAAAAGATATGAGAGCAGTCTCTTTGTCCAAAAATAAAGAAACAAGAACATATTTTGTATTACCACGTTGTGTTCTATTTATTTCTGAAGACTTAATAAAGACTTTTGATATCTGTATTGCACATATATATCACATTCTTCATGTTAAATATTATCTTTGTTTGTCAAATTAGGATCAGTGATTTCATCGGTGATTAGAATCACAAGTAATTCAATTTAAATGAAGGGTACTACGTAATTATATATATGCAATACATGTTGCCCCAGGCGCGGATCCAGGGGGGGGCCGAGCGGGCCTTGGCCCCCCCCCCCTCCCCCGCAAAAAAAAAAAAAAAAAAAAAAGAGAGAAGAAAGGAAAAGAAGGGAGAAAGGGAAAAAGGAGAAAAAGGGAAAGAAAGAAGAGGAAGAAGAAAAGAAAAGGGGGAAGAAGGACATCGGGGGGCCGAAAGGGCCTTGCCTCCCAGGCTGTTAACCCCCCCCCCCCCCCCACCCCCAATCAAAATAAATAAGAGAGAAGGAAGGAAAGGGAAAGAAAAAGGAAAAGAGGAGATACTGGCGTACTGATAGAGGGGGGGGGGGGGGGGGGGCTTGGGGGAAATCAAATTCAAACGTGGTTTATTTCTAAATTCCACAACGGTGGATTACAAATAATGCTGACATGACATAATTTCCGAAATTTTTCCTCACTTTTTAATAAATTATACGTTTGTATGTGTTTGTTGAAAAATGACATATTCCTAAATTTACAACCAGGCAAAAAATATGATTCTTGAGATTCCTACATGTCAGGGCCCGAGGTACGGCGGGGATCGAGAGCCTCGAGCTCTCCCCCCCCCCCCCCCCCCACTTTTCTTGAAAAAGTATATTAAAGAGAAATAAAATAGAATGAGAGCAAGAAAGTAAGAATAGTTAACTGCCAGTGTTAACAAAATAATCTGACCGTGATTAAATGCCTAAACCCCCTAAGCTTCCGGGGGCTCTGCCCCCTGGATTCCATCTAGGGCCCTACGGCGGGCCCTTAGATGATCATCTGACGGTAATTTAATGCCTAAAACCCCTGATTTTTTGGGGCTCCGCCCCCTGGACCCCACGCAAAATAGTGACTTGCCAGTGTCACAAAATAATAAGGTATACACAAAAATATGCTCATCTGACGCCGCCTCGGCCCCACCAGGGGCCCTAAGGCGGGCCCCTGAATGCTTATCTGACCGTAATTTATTGCCTTAAACCCCTGAGCTTGCGGGGTCGGACAGGGTATCAAGATTGTGTTTATCTGACCGCAGGCGCGTAGTCAGGGGGGGGGGGTCCCACCAATCGGAAGAGGACGAAGGAAGAAAAAGGAGCTGACAAAGAACATCTTTGAAATTTAGACAAGGATTAAGAGTATAGAGAACGGTACAACGCATCGTTTTCTTTCTCTAATAATAAAACGTCAAAGCCTTGCGCAGGAGGGGAGGGGGGGGGGAGACTGAATTCAGACGAGGATTCAAAGGCAAGAACGGTAATACGGTAATACTTAAATGATTTAATAAGACGTAAAAGCTTCTGCGCTTCGCGCGGGATGGGAGGGGGGCTGATTTTAGACAAGGATTAAGAGTCGAGAACTGTACAACGAATCGTTTTCTTCCTCTAATGATTTAATGAAACGTAGAAGCTTCCGCGCTTCGCGCAGGAGGGGAGGGGGGTTGATTTCAGACAAGGATTAAGAGTCGAGAACTGTACAACGAATCGTTTTCTTTCTCTAATGATTTAATGAAACGTAAAAGCTTCCGCGCTTCGCGCAGGAGGGGAGGGGGGGCTGATTTTAGACAAGGATTAAGAGTCGAGAACTGTACAACGAATCCTCTTCTTTCTCTAATAATTTAATAAATCGTAAAATTTTCGGGAGGGGAAAAAACTAAATCCAGACGAGAATTGTTTTCGAGAACGGTACAACGAATCGTCTTCTTTCTCTAATAATGTAATGAAACGTCAAAGCCTGGGAGGGGGAAACTCGCCCCCCCCCCGCATTACGTCACTGTTGGTCACCATAACGTACCAATATTTGGCTCGCATAATTTCAAATTTGGGCCCCCCCCTAAGAAATCCTGGATCCGCGCCTGTGTTGCCCATTATGGTAGTTCCCCCTTTTACGATAAGCAAAAATTCCATGTCACTTTCAGTGGCTTAGGCATATGGTAGAACCTCAACTAGGCTTAAAAGTGTCATTTGGATGATTTGTGAGGCACGCTTGATTTACCCCTATCTGATCTCAAGAAGTCAGAAGCTAGGACATGAGCAAATGTCAAGGACCAGTCTCCTAATAGTCATCATCTTCTTTTCAATTATATAAATCAGATATGAGACAACCGATCCGTCCATTACTTCTACTCTAGCTATTTCATCCTCATCCTTTCACAATTATCTCACACTGTCTCTAAGCGGGTGACAATAATGTGTTTGTTTGTATGTTTGCTTGTTTGTTTTTTTTAGCTTTTGTTTTGATGATGCATTTTTGCTTTTGTTATACTTTTGCTTTATTGATTTTCCTTTTTTTGTTTTTGCCCTAGTTTTTTTCATATGCTTTAGCATTTAATTTTGCTTTTGATTTTGTTTTTGCTTTTGCTCTTTCTTTTGGTTATGCTTTTGCTTTTGTTTCCAAAATTCTCAACAAATTTGGCAAATTTTTACTAAATGAATACTACAAAGTAATCTTTCAATGAATTCAACAGAGTATAATAAACAACCAAGAAACAAAGCAATGAAAGATAAGGACGTTTAAAAATTTGTTTATTCTAAATGTATTTCTGATTTTTCAGCTATTTTTTAATAATTGTTTTTAAATCTTGATCATGTGATGGTGCGACAGTTTCTTCAGTCAGTGAAGTGTGTTCCAGGCTTCAATTCATCAAGTTGAGAAAGGATTTTAGGTTTTAGGGTTATGGTTAGGAATAGGTATAGAGTACTGAAGTTATGATTTGATTACTATTAGAAATTAATCACAAGGTGATCCTATAGGATAATAACTTTGTAACTAATTTACTGAGAAACAAGACAATCCCCTTCCAGGATTTTACTACTTTCCTTTTACAAATTTCTTGATAAGTATTTATGAGAAACAATCTTTCTACTATGATCTTTTCAAGAGAGAATGTATGAGACGAGAAAATGGGAGTAGGTCAGTGACAATGCTGATCCTTGGCATACTTATAGAGAATGGAAGATGTGATGATTAATTCCCAGTCACTGTCTTCCCATCCATGCTTGCCTTCAAGCAAGATTTAGCTCTCTCACTCTTTTTGAAGATAATTTTCAAGTCGATTTCATGCTCGTCAATGGTCTACTTGACTATGAAATTGAAAGTGCATTATGGACAATTATTCCGCTTCAGTATGATCCCTTGCTAATCAAAGGAACGAGAAAACTTATCACTCTTATTACTCAAATTACCTCATATTTTGTTATTGAATATTTATCTTATTATCTATATACAGATAAACATTTTTTAAATAGTTTTTTTTAATTCAAAACAAAAATAGGTTGCATTTTAGAATGAATATTTAAGAATTGTTTGCATGAGACTGACCTAATAAATGGAAATAAATACGCTCTTATAACCACAACCATATTAAAGTGCCCTGAATTTACAAATAAACATCAATATTTATGGTCATTTAGTCTGTTTGTCTTGATACAAAATTCTGCAATATACTGTTCTCTTTTACAAATCATGAACTATATTTTTAAGATACTAAAACTTAC